GGGGGGGGGGGGGAACCACAAATGGAGTCTGTCAGGCTTGTCAGGTTTCACTCCGAGGCAAAGAGAGCAACAGAGTGAGCAGGCAGGTCTGTCATTTGTGCTTCACTTATAAAGTAGAGTTTAAAGGCTTCCTGCAGCTGTGAAGAGGTTTTATTCCTGCTTGAAGAGATTTTATTCCTACTTGTTAACGTTTGGAAGCTATAAATAGGGATATTTAAGTAGGGATAATAGGCACATCTTTGCATTTCTCTGAAACTTTCTAAGCACAGCATGCTTTGGAACCAGTAGAAAATAAGCGTTTTAATTAGAAAAAGTGGTTCTCTGTATTATGTAGAAACAATGCAAAGTTTTGCTCAACTCTGATGAGAGAGTTCTTTTTTTTTTCCTAAATTTTCTGTGTTCAAGCTGACAATAGTGTTTAGAAAAGAGGGTGTGAAGTATGTGTGTGAAAGATAATTCCATGCTGTTTATTTTATTTTTACTGCATTAACTGAAATAGCTGTATTTACTGTATTTAGTGAAATAACTTGCAGTGACAGTGTGTGGTCGTCATGGGTTTTGGATTTCTTTTTTGTTGAATGCAGTAAATATTTTTTCCTACTGTCTACTATAGGGGAATTCTGCTGACAATGTTTTCATTTTCATGCCACTTGTTTGGCATTCCATTTAAAATAATAGCTATGGGAGGAATAGACTTGAAAACTGCTCCAGAAACTAGTACTCTGACTCAGTTGTTTTCTTCCCTTTTTTTTCCCCCTAAATATATTTTGTAACTTGTACTATTGTTCTGAAGTTCCCAGAATTCTTACGAAAATGTATTTGAGCAGCTTTTATGAGTTTCCCAAATGGTTCTTTTTTTTCTTAGGATCTATCATCTATGTGACTAAAAGTCAGTTCTCCATGTTGCAAAAAATACACTTCCATGAGCCTTAACTTCCATCAATTACTGAGCAACGTGAATTTGTGTAGAGCTTGGAAAGCTTCTCCTTTTTGAAACACCAATGTGTCCTAAACCCAGTTAATTATTGAAGTGCGTAAGAGGACTGTTCAAAGAGGAACTGGCAGGGCTGAGGAGACACAGCACGGAGGCAGAGCTCTTCGGTTAGAGGGGGAAGGGGGAATGGTGATGGTAGTGCTCAACACCCCTACCCTGGGTTTTCCCAGAGGTACCTTATTAATGGGACTTTTCCAGGAGCAAGGACTTCAGATTTGTGCATGATGTTACTCCATGGGAGGAATTTAATTTTCTTCATAAGGCAATTAATATAAGTAATCATTCAGCACCTGGTTTTGCAGAAGTGGTTCTAGAGTCTCATCTTCCTGCTGGGATACAAGAGCTACTTACAGGCTTCGTGACTCATTGTCTTTAGTTTGGTTTGTGGACTTCCCTGCCCCGTTAGTTTTCGATTTGAAGTTGGAATTAAAGAAAATATACATTTTATTTACTGATAATTGCCTGAATTTGATTCAGCAGTACGCAATAAGAGTGCGTGTCCAGTGCTAGATTTTTCGCCCTGGTCATGGAAATACTTATTCATAACCATTTTTTTAAAACATCTTTTACCAAAATGCACAAGTAAATGTATTTGATGGGCCACTGGTGCCTTCAAGTAGCCTTGCTGCAAATGTTACATAAAACCACTGAACTTCATGTACGTTTTTGGGATAGTGAAAACTTATTTGTGATATTTTTTTTCTTTTCTGTTTTGTGAAAAATAAGCTCTATAGATAAAATCTGAAAAGCACAGTATAAAGTAGCTGTGAAACATTAATAAATGGAGACTTTTTTTGCTAACTGTTCTTACAGGCTGTTCCTTCAGTAGTTGAAATTGTGAAGCTTGGTTGTCAGGCAACTTAACCAAATAGTCACTTTATTGAATATAAAACTTATTCTAGAATAGCAATTCAGAGTTGTTTCTCATGTGTAGTACTTTAATAAAAATATTAACATGTCTGTGACAAGTTGCTGTAGTTAGATTGGCAACTGCTCTCTCCGGTCCCAGGATTTTTTCGAACTAGGTCATTAATACAGAAAATCACTGTCTTTTTCTGTGTATTCACCTTCTTCATTGAGTAATCTTCGCAGTGTGTACAATGGTCTCTTAAAAAAAATAGAAGAACAGTGTTTATGTGACCAATCTGGCCATTTCAAAAAGGTCAAGAAAATATACCAGTTATTGAAAAACATAGTTTTCTGAAGCAGAGAAGTTTAATTGGATTCCAGGAGGAGGATTGGAGGATAAACCAGATGTTGAATGAAAAAATTGATACTGAGGATGACAGTAAGCTTAATTTAAAAAAAAAAGTAATGTGTTATAATTTTGCTGTTAGTGTAAAACCATGTGATTAGTAAATCACACTGATTGCCTGTGAAATTTGTTACTCTTGGATTACCTTTTTTGGTAGAAAGTAGCTTTCTAAATCCATGGCTTTTTTTTTTTTTTTGTAATAATGCTGCCTGAGACCTAATCAGTTTTGTGACTTCCACATTTAATTTGTTTTTCATGTTCAAAAAGTTCTGTTTGGGTTTTTTTGCAAGCAAAATACGGAACAGTTTATTAAATAATGTACACATATGCCCAAATTCCCTAGGGCCAGATGTTCTGCATATAATCCATAGCCACTTCTGGATATAATTAACAGAATATATTTTTATACTAGGCACTGTAAATCTTCCTGACGGACCTGTGCTAGTGGCGAGGTGGAAATACTGAGAAGGTGGTCCCATCCTTGTCAGAACAGGAAGCTGTGTGCTGTGGAGGGGATGGGTTTCCCATCACTGACACCAGGGTTTCCTTGGGTTTGTGTCTGTCCGCTCCCCCTGGCAGTCTGTGTGGAGTTTGGATGGCAGTGGACTGCTCCCTTCTGGAAATACTGGTTTGATTTGGCACTGGTGAGCTCTGTCTGCCTGTTTCTGATCCAAGCAGCTTTAAGGGGTTGGTTATTCCACTAAATGACACAGGTACTCCTTTCCTCCTAGAGCTTCATTGGCTTAAGTCTTACACTGCTTTACGTGCTCTATGAGAAACCTTTTCTGAAGCAGTTGAGCGAAACGCAGGGCCTGGCACGTAAATGCTGGCCGTGGTGCTCTTCCAGAGTAGGCAAGAGCTCCTCAGAAGCTCACGTTCGTTGACTTGAGGATGAAATGTAAGGGGTTTCACATCAGCAAAACTTTTGTTCTTCAAAAAAACTTGTCGACTTTCCGAATGCTTGTCTTGTTGTATTGGACTTTCTACTCGTTCAGAAATTTTGTATCTCCATGTAAAGATCAGAGAAAAATACTGTTTGGGTGGTTTTTTTTTAAATTTTCCAACTATCAGTTGGTATTGACAGCCCAGATAAGCTAAAAGATGCCTTGTTATCATCAGTTCAACAAATTCTTTTCTTCTCCTTTTAAGGCTTTTTACAGTGGCAAGTCAGTCCATCTCAGAAGTCTGTCAGAATGCAGAGCACAAGTAGAGGAGAAAATCATGATCTAATAAAAGTATATTGGACTGTAATCCTGTAATTGTTCTCAAGTCTGGGTACAAATGATTTAAAAAGACTCTTAAACTGTCTTTACGAATCAGTGGTTTAAAAACGTTCTTATATATTTTTCAGGAATTTAACTGCCCTGTCCTCACAGCTTTTAAAGCTAATTCTAGCATGGTTTCACACTTTTAAAAAAAATATTCCAAAAGAGAGATAGCTATTTGACATCTGGTTAAAATTGCATAGAAGAAATGACATAATTGGTTGCTATCTTAAAGATGTTTTTTTTCTGTAAGAACTGGAAAATACGGTGGTAATGACTCCATTATTAAGCCATACATGTTGTTTCCTTTCATCCTAAATAATTGGTTATCCCTGAAGATGTCACTTATTACTGGAATGGGGCAGAAGGTGGGCTTTTAAACTGTGAGATTTGTTTTTTTCCTTGAAGAAACAGTGTTTTGCTATAAACAGGGCTTTAGATGCCTGCTCCTTTGCCCTCCCTAAATCACTGTGGCTTGTCCCTGGCTCATGGTGTGCAGCCCAGTGCTCCTGCCGTGATCCATCGGCAGCTCTCACATCTCTGCCCCCGCAGGGCTGCTGGGAATGTTCTGAAGAGCCACCCTTTCTTGAAGGCATCAAAGATTTCAAAAATTTCCTTGATCTTTCCTGCTTTGTGAGGATTGTATATGGTGTTTTGCATGATGCATATGATGACATAATATTGACCCTGGGAAATGTTTTGGTATTTTTTAAATGTGGGCAGAATAATATTTTGCAAACAGCATTGACCTGAGCACTTGTTCTGTAGTGGTTTCCTCTTGGAGAAGGTAGTCTTGGTGTGTCAGGTAGAGCCCTTTAGTCTCGAGTCTTTGTACAGCCCAAGAACCAAGAATTTGTCTTCACCCTTTATTC